AATGCGTGAAAATATAAATGTACCTGGAACACATGAGTGATGAGACACATAAATTTCGTCTCTCAAATTGATCATTCTGATTAAATTTCTATTCACACTCACTATTATTCGAAATTTGTAATCCTACGGCTGCCCATGGGGCGTAAATTTTTATCGATCACACGCGATGGTAAACGGTAAACGCACGCGAAACTGTTTTTAGCTGAAAGTCTTCAGACGTGCCCCTGACAACTCATTTACCCACCTCGCCGGCTCGGCATGCTCGGGCCGCGCGCTCTGCGGCCCTCACCATCAGCACCGTGTCACCAACACACGCCCCCCTTCCCTTCACCCCCCCTCACCGGACACACCGCACACCTCTCAGCTATTCACAAAATGTGTCCCCAGCTGACCAGGCCCGCGAACTACCGCACACCAGCTATTCACAAAATGTGCGCCTCTGACACCTCAGTGGATGCCGTATTGCCGTAGTCCGGGGCGAGATCGCGGTGCTTCTGCCCCGGTGGGAGGCCTGAGAGGTCTCTGCGAGTCCATGCGACACGGATATAAGAGGTCCGAGTGTCCGAAGTGACCACTCTGGAGTGTCGATTCGGGTGTCAACTGGTGGATGTCTTGGATGCCATAGACACGCGCTATGGATGCCGTGAATGATGAGCGATCGCGGATGGAGGTGGTCTTTTATGGGCGGCAGCACATGAATGCCCCCATGAGGTAGCCACTTCAACCCACTCGGGTCATGCATAAAATGCTTTAATTTGGTGGTGACGGGGAAAGGGAATGAAGATTCGCTGGTGTTAGTGTTTGGCTAGTGATAGGTACAATCTTTGAAATGATGAGATGAAAAGTAAGACATTCCTCATCTGGATACTTGGACTAAACTTCTAATGTCCAAAATTAGCAAAACACTCATTAACCCGGCAGGCGGTGGGCCTCCCGGCCACCTTCCGCGCGGTGGGGGGGGGGGGCATTTTTTTGCCCCCCCCCCGTATCTCCGAAACTACTGGACGGATCCGGAAAATTCAAACGGCTAGCCCTGTCAAATTTGTCGAAAAGAACCGAATTTCATTGACCTCGGGGTCACCGATGACGTCACAGGTCAGGTCAAAGATAAAATGTTTCACCGTTCACGGGGCTTCTAGGGAAAGCGCTATAACACCGAGTAAAACGCATTTTGTCGAAAATCAGCGATAGGGCGTCAGTTGTCTAGTACATATGTTGCTATTAGAGGTCACTGGTCATACCAGGTCAGGTCACAGGTCAGGTCACCAAAGGTCACCAAGGGTCACCACATGAACCCAATTTTACTAAGGTTGTGTGATGCATGTTTTATGGCCAGTTTTTCATTTCCAACTCAATGGTGTTGGTTATAAGACCATCAGGTACGGTTAAGGTCACTTTCTGGTGGAGGTCAGGTCAAGGTCAGGTCAAAAAAGGTCAAATTTCAAAGTTGATATTTTTGCATAAAATGGGTAATGATTCGATGCAGCTCATCACGGGGAGTCTAATGGTGGTCTTTGTTTTGCGAAACGAGGTCTAGAATTGCTAAAAATTTAGTTTGAAAATTTGACGTCATCAATTTTGAACAGTTTTCTCGCTATAACTTGGCCAAAAAAAGAGGTATCGATCTCAAATTTGGTATGTAGATAGAAAGCGGTAAGGACTATCACATATATTCCAGTTTTTTCGAAATTCAAAAAACTTTTAGGATTTTTTGGCTATTATATCCAAAAAATCTATTTTTTAATTTTTGGGGGTCAAAATCCAAAAAATTCGAAAACCGAAATAGCAGTTTTGTAGTCCTTTTTATTCCACACCTTTTATGTCTGAAACATTTTTCTGCATCTCTAAAGCTGTAGGCCTGACAGCTCTTCCCGCAAGACCTTTTTTTGGGTCGAAAATGGCAGAAATGACGTCACTCTGACGTCATTAGCGGCCAACCTATCATAGCCTTTGGAAACATTTTCGGTCACCATGTGCGCTAGCTACTCCCGGGAGGGTACTGAAACTTTGGTGACGATCGGCGCAGCGGTTCTCGAGATATATCGAAAAAACTAAGGGGGGGGGGCAAAAAAATGCCCCCCCGCCTGGAAGGTTAAAGGTGATATGAGCTGAAAATACCTCAATCCTGGGACATTGCCAGATTATCACTTTGTTCAGACCTGACAGCAGGTGATGCCAAAGTTACTTCGTTTCAATCCTCACTGCCAGTTTTTAGACATAGTTGCCAACTCTGTCAGGGCACTGCTGCTAATATTTGTATTGTAGAACATACTTTGTACGCTCGCTCAACTACGGCCTTTCATTATTTTCCATGAAAAGTCCACCAAGCAATATTACTAAACTTCAGCTAAAAATGTCCTGGACTTCTCATAAAGTTGAACGAAGGATGAATCTAGGCAACTCTTATAACAAGCTTATGTCCATGGAACTGACATTAGACGGAATCCCAGCCATTGCAGGACGACAGGCAAAAAATTAATTAAATTACCTCCTGCATAGAGCTGTTGCTTAACGCATATTTTGGTGCTCCATGCCACTGTTCTCTCTCAGGAAGTCATCAACGCAGTGGCATTACAAAACCGGCGGAATCCGTCTCATTCCTATTCATTCTTCGCACTGGGGAGTGCGCGCCGCATGCGTGGGGTGAAAATATCCGTCGCGAGCGGAAGCTTTCCCTCTAGCGCTGCTCGCTCCCACGTTGGCGACGCGCTGAGACGGCCCTCGCTCGCAGTGATTGACAGAGGTGCTCATGTCCGGTGACCGGCCCGGTCGGGAGGCGGTTCGCAGAGCCGTCTGACCCGCCCCCGTCTGTCTGTCTTCGGCTCCGTACGGGTGCGCCGTGACTTGACCCGACCCGGTCGGACCGGACTGCATGTGCCCAAACATGTCGCCGGTTTTGCCGCCGGCCGTCCGACCACATTGCAGCGATGCCGTTGCCGACGGTGGCGGTCGACGTTCCCACGCCGGCCGCCGCCGCCGCCGGCGACGCTCACTTTACGGCCGCCTTCCCGCATCGGAGATTCCGTCCACCTGCCCAGAATGCGTCCAATTCCTGTGTGTGAGAACGTCTCCGGATCTGGCGATTCCCACGTCTCGGGCGGGACGAGCCATTTCGGAGTTTCGGCGGCATTTCGGAGAGACAGCGGCGGCGGCCGTGAGTCGTGTTTCGGTCAGCGCCGCGTTATCGTGCCGCCATCGGGCGGACCCGGGCAGACGGCGCCGCGGGGCTCGGCTGGCGCCCGACCAGCCGGCCAAACGACGCCGGCCGCTCTCTTACACACTCGGTTTGTTATTTACCGAGCGTCCACCAGGGGCGGTAAGGGATTGAGGAACCAAAATAGAAGAAGAATACGGCGCCGCGCGCGCTCGGGCGCCGCCGGCTTTCATGTGGCCTTCTGAGACACGGAGTGGCCGGGACGCCGTCTGACCCAGGCCAGGTCACGCTCGATGGCAAGTCGCGCCAGGCCGTGACGCTGACATTGTCTCGGCGGAGCGGCACGTCGGGCCAGTGACGTCACAACTCAGACGCTCGGAGGAAGGGTCGTCTGGAATGCGCTTTGACTCCGGCCGAGCTTTATGAAGTGCGAGGTTTGTTTCGTTATTTTTATTTCTTATTCTGTCGGGTACCCGTAAATGTACTGAGAAAAGACTTTGCTTTCAACATTTCATCTACGTTTCCCATTAATGTAAAAGCTATTTCCAGTGCAGATAGTGAAGCTGACTGCTGGCAAGAGCCAGAGGAATGTTATCTTTTGAAATGCGACCTCAATACACTACCCTTATTGCGAGCTGGCTTGCTCGTTGGCCGGGTCATTTATCGCAACAGCCCCGAAAACACTACTGGGAACATTTCGCGGGTGAGTGAATGTAACAGTCTGGAAAATGTATCATGGGTTTTCTTTCATGAATTACAGCGGAGCATTTAGCAGACAAGAACATGCTATGTAATGTTACCGGTATTTGTGCATGTTATGTGTAAAGAAGCATAAATGCATCTTCAAAATAAACTCAGCTCCGCCTAACCAAAGCCTTTAAACTGCATGACAAAAGACAGCCGAAACAAAATAGAGTTGCAAAGTTTTCCCAATGGGCTGCTACCGGCACCGCCCCGCCCCACAAACATTTTCTGGGATACCGGCATGCTACCACGCCCCAAGCAAAATAACCGCCAAATTACCGGCATACTAAAAAACATGTATTCTTGATTCTGGCTTACCCCTACATGAGATGCCACATTTTGGCAATTTCAGTAACCGCCCCACCCAGCAGCCACCCATTGTCCAACTTATTACAATTCAATAGCCTCTTAGTGTCCAAAGTTTGAATCATATGCTGATAATTTTTTGTGCAAAATCAAAAATACCGGCATGCTACCGGCAAGACATGCCAGATACCACGAAAAAACCTGCGGTAGTGAAAAATTACCGGCATGCCGGTAGTGCGGTAGGGAAATTTTGCAACTCTAAAACAAAAGCAAATGGAAAGAGAGCCTGGCAAACGATGAATACCTACGTATAGACAGAAAGTTTGCTATCACGGGATTTAAAACTGTATCGTATAACATGCAGGGCATTATCCTGGAAATGAGCATCCAATATTTCTCCTTAGGACCAAGGTCATATATAGGCTTAGGACTGTAACGTTTCCTGTTGATTGCTTAGACCCGTATCGAGAGTTTCATCCACTTCATGGAGCATCGCCCGACGTCTTGGGTAAAAATTATCGCTCAAAACGGGAATGGCTTGCTACAGCTGCTTGGCAGGGCCCTGCCCATAATGATTTTCATATAGATCCTTTCCGCTTTTATTATTTGCAATATGCAGATAGCTTTTCTTCTTGAGAAACAGCGTGCACTGTAAATTTAACTGCAGATACTTCTTCGCCTTTTTTGTTGTCCCTCTAAAGTTTGAAGTGTGCGATGTGCGCCCAGCTGGCTTCTGACGATCGAAAATGTCCTTGCATAGCCTTAATGAAGAAGAACCAAAACCGCCAAAAGCTTCATATTTTGCAACATTTATTTCCATTCTAGCTAAATGATCAATCGAACATGATAAAACACAACTTGAATACGTATCTATGATTATTCAGTTCATGCCGCATCTCCCACAGCACAAATAATAAATACTTAACACTTACAGAGCGCATCTCACACCACGCAGAGCGCGTCGGAGCTTCTCAGCGAGTCAGATCAGAGAGCATCCGACTCTAGCGTCAACGACAGGCGCACGTCCAAATGACTAACCACCGATACATTGTACATCGAAACACCGCTTACGGTGACCTGAATGAAGCTCACGATTAGGTGCCCGTGTGCTGTGATGGACATGATAAGCTGCAGCGACAGGTGGTTTCTACAAAATCATCTCCATTCAGAACATAGCACCATCTTTCATCCAGCAATCGAACATCGGTCAACTCTCGAGACCTTCTCTGTTCGACAACACACGTGCACATGAAACAAAACATCCAAACAGCAACATGAACAACGTGTCGGCAGCGTACAGAAAACGTACGGCAGCGATCCTCAGCACACAAATCTCGCGGCGCCAAGGCACTGGGGGTCACAACTGGGTTCCCGCACCGCCCAGCGGCCGGCGCGCGACGGACGGGGCTGACCCAGCCGGCCGCCATTTTGATTTGAATGCCAGGTGAGCTAAGCCGCCGGTGCAGGGTCTTGGTGGGACCGCGGCGCCGGAGCTCTACAGCCAGTAGGAGTCCTTGCCGCCGGCTGCCGCGTGCAGGGACGACTCCAGACCTGCGAGACGATACGGATGAGATGGGTAAGCATCATAAGCGGAGGTGAGGGACACATGGATGCTCTCCTTCTGTTAAGTGTAGGTAAAAGAGCACGGGAAAAAGATAAAAAGACTTATATGTTATGTAAAAACGCGACACTGCATAAAATTCTAGTGAGTCACGGAGCAGAGCAGATTGGTGCATTTTAATTATTGAAAGCTCATTCATCAGTAAACAATTACTTTGCACCGACAATTTACCTACTTCTGAATAGGCCGCACTTTGCTCTGAAAAGTGTTCCATTATTGACTGAAGCATTTTCAAATTAGCTAGGCACTGTGCACATGAAACAAGCCCTTTACCATCATCTGACAGACAACTACCAACTAAATAATGAGCCACTCAGTGCTCTCCACCGCCACTACCAGCCCGATCAATGTCCGACCCTCAGGCCTCACTCACCTGTCAAACCATTGCCATATCCCACCGCGCCGGCCCCGAAGCCCGGGTCCAGCGGGTGCGCGTGCGGGTGCGCGTGTGGGTGCGGGTGCGGGTGTGCACCCAGTTCAGGAGGAACATCTGAGTAGCCCCGTGCTGCACCCCATTCGCTCTTGGTTGACTGTCCGGTTGTCGGTAGCCGAGAGCCAGACGGGAACAGCAGGGGGCCGTAGCCGTTGAAGCGCGCGGCAGCGGCGGCGGCTACGCCCGCCGTGCTGCTGCCGTAGCCGGCCAAGTCACGCGCAGGGTAGCCAGCTGCCTGCGTGGCCAGCGCGTAGTGCCACGGGTCTGCTGAGAGGGGGAGAGGAGAGGTGTGTTATTCAGCGGTGAGCGGTTGTTACACACGGCCTTGATTTCGCTATGGAGGCAAAGACGACTCAGAATTTTGTTTTGGACATGTAAAAAAGCAAGCGAGAGTTTGGCTACGGATATCACAAGTATTTCCTACGCAGTCCGTGACCATTAACAACTTCAGAAGGCAATGATTCGACTCACGTCAAAACACTGTACAGACCTATCTTACGGCATTGTTGCTAAAAAGATATAATACATGGCATAGAAAACAAGCTGATGCATTTCGCTGCGTTTTTAGCCTCCTCTACCTTCGGGCTCTGCCTCGACTCAACTCAAACACCCACCAGATTGATGTAGGCCGTGGAGTGCTGATGAGTGGTACGGGTCACTGTAGAGGTCGTGACCCCCGCCGTGACCTATTGATGTCGCCGTGGATCGACTGTGGTAGCCGCTGTTCCAGAAAGACGCCGGTAAATTCCGCTGAGTCATCGGCAAATTGTCTGAAAGAAATAGAAGCAGAAAGTGGTGTTAGCAAACTCTAACGAACAGTCACAGTCAATATTGGGGAGATCGTATCGCATCTGTCATGGCGATATATAACTAGCAGGCTGACATTTAGGTAACTAGCAGGAAAGCCATAGCGCTCATCGCCGTTTTGGAATTATTTTGGATTTCTGCCACACTGTCCGTCAATACTTCACTTCATCGGCGTCAATCGTTACATACAGACAAGAGAAAACCAAGTAACTATCTTAGACCTAGTTTTTTCCTCGTCGAGTCCGTCAGCAATCGTTCCCAACAACTCGCAGGACGCAGATTTAACGCAGAATCCATACACCAAGCCTACAATTCCGCAGTGCGCACGCTATAACTGCGATATCGGGATATTGCCATCGCCATTTTGTGGGCGCCCACCTTAACTGCAGTCATCAATCATTGCGATAGCCCCTCGGCGCGCCGGAATACCGACGCCATTTTCTCGGAGCTCTAATCCCCTGGGGCAATAAACCACTTGAGCCGGCACTAGACAGCCATTCGGCGCCGACTGGGCCGACCCAGGTCCTACGAAATCGACCGGCTTGCGCCGCAGATAATCGTGGTGGCTTTCCGTTACCACGCACAGAGTCAGAAATTGATGAGAGGGTCATATACTCGTAGGTATTGGCGGGTGGAATATAACTGGAATATAACTATAACTGGATAGGTGGAATATAACAAAATTAGTTCCGGCCCAAATCCGAGCCTCGCTCCACGGAGTCAATACATGGGGAGGCCGTGCGGCTGTGTGGGGACGACTCGCGTGTGTGTTTGTGGCCGGAGTCTGGGGTGAGCGTCTGGTCTGACACGAGTCCGGGGAAGTAGGGGAGGGTCGGAGGGGAGCGCTCCCGCCTCGCGCACCCCGGGCCCGACCCTGATGGATGGCCCAGCCCACATGTGTCCGGGACATGGCCTCCCCGCGGCAGACGCATGATCTACTGTCCCGGCCTGGTCCCGGCTGGGACGACGGCTCTCCTCCCTCCCCTCGCGCCTGACCCTTGTGACACCGCTCAGCACACGCAGTTCTGGGGAAGGTAGGTACAGAGGAGCAGCATCGGGAGCAGCATTCGGAACAGGGTGGGGAGAAGCGTTAGAAGTTGGCCATTCAGATGGGCATTCGACGCCATTGACTCAGTTTTTTTTTGCAACCCGTTCAATCGCACATTTGAACCCAGAGCCTATTTTAAGGGAATTTGACTGGGGGGGCAACCTGGAAAATTGTCTTTAATAATTCCATTAACCCTCGCCCGTATTGGTGTTTTCCAGCTGCGAACGTATATATGGGGGGGGGGGGTCCGTTGGACCCTCCCCCTTGCTGTTTCGCCCCTGATCGAGTTAGAGCTTCGCGGAAAAAAACGACCGTGTTGCCCGTGATGAAAGGAAGCCGATGATACCCAATTTAAAGGTCCTAGGTCATCGGTTGACCTTCCAGGTCAGGTCAATGACCCAAAAGTCGGGAAAATCGGGAGTTAGAGCATAGTAAAGGGTGGCTGCTATGGTTTTTTTCGGGGTGCTGATCACGAATATCATCTTAGTTATGATCATAGATGATGTCTTCATGCATTTAGGCCAGGTCGGGTCAGGTCAGGTCAGGTCAGGTCAACCAGTAAGGGTTTTGCCGGGTATTCGTAGCTGGTGGCAACCGCCTCTGACAGCTCCGTAACATGTTACGAAGGCACCAAAACTACAGGGTGTCTCAAAAGTTCCTTGACACATTTCCCATGCCAATAAAGCATATAAGAACCGGCCAAAAATCTAAGGTTTTGGTGTCTGTGTGTACACTAGACAAATATGCATGCTTTGACAACTGATTCGGAAGGTTAGAAACCAAACCCTTTGCTGTATCTCCAAAAATATTTGCCCATACCGATTTTCGTCGCTCCGTCAGCTGCCGGAGGCTGATAAAAGGTTACCAGCTTTCAACTTTCAAGCTCTTGCAGGGGAATCCCCTGCAGTTTCTGCGTCGGAGTTAGGTTTGACGAGCTTCCTGGCAACATCCGCTTCTCCCTTAAAGCCGACAGCTTGCATCGACACCATCCGTGAGTATTTCGTAGGTCTTCTCTGGCACCAACTCCTTCATGAATGACTGGCGCCGACCTCCCAAGTACCATTTTCCTTTTCAAAACAACCCCATTCTTGAACAAATGGGAGGTGCCAGCGGCAATTTTTTCGCAGCATATCGTAGCAAAATGTGTCGGTCATCTGTTTCTTAGACACATTGTGAAATTTTGCAAATCCCAAACGCTCGTCATTTCCCATGCCAAGACCTTCGCTAGGTTCCGGAGTGTTTTCCTCAGGAGAGGTTCTGCTTTGTGAACGACCAAAACATGTCCATCGTGCGGTTTTGTCCGGATTTTGTGTGTAAAAGAAAGCTATTAGCTTCAGATCTGCCTCTTGAAACTTCGTAAGATAAAACTTAACATTAATTGACACTTTTGGAGGGTCACTTGTCTTTGTCTTTATTTTATGATGACCTGCAATTTTTGAAACTGGGTAACCTTTGTCTGTTAGCTTCTAGTCAGTTTTCAATAGTTAGGACTGCATATTCAGGTGCTCTTCGGAGCACGAGTCTGCTGTCTGCTTCTCAGCCGACCCGAGTTTGCGACCTCCACTTTCATGTCTGATCCATGGTCAAAGGTGAACCCTATTTGTGAGCTCATGAAGGGTCGAATGCGCTTGAAAACAATGAAACTGCTTGAGGAAGGTTGCCACCAATGCCCATGCAAAATTTTGACTATTAATTTCTTGTTGATTCCGAATTATTGACAAAAAAAGCCTGGCTGGTACCTGTCAACGAACTTTTGAGACACCCTGTGTAAACGGTCAAATGGTTGCTAAATTTGAATTCAGCTCCAAAAACTAGCCCAAGTAGAAACATATAAAACTCGGAATGTGAACCGAGGTCATCAAAGGCAAATGACCTGACCTGACCTTCCGGTGACCTTGACACCCGCCATAATGCATGGGAGCAACATCATATCCCATGTTTTGAACGTTTGAAACCACGAAAAGACTGCCAAACGCGCGGCTAATGCGAGGCGACATACGCCGAATCGCGATCCCGGCCAAACATGGTGCCATGGTGCTAGGCCGCCGGTGCATCTGAAAGAACTGTGGTGCCCCTGACAAGCCTGAAGTTCCAATGACAGGCCCGTGGTGCCCCTGACAGGCCCATGATGCCCTTGCAAGGCCGGTGGTGTCCATGCTAGGCCGGTGGTGCCTCTGCTAGGCCGCTGGTGCCCCTGGGCCCTGACAGGACTGTGGTGCTCCTGACAAGCCTGGAGTGTCCCCGACAGGCACGTGGTGCCACTAACAGGCCCAAGGTGTCCCTGCGAGGCCGGTGGTGCCCCTGCCAGGCATGTGGTGTCCCTGCTAGGCCTCTGGTGCCCCTGACAGGCCTATGGTGCCCCTGACAGGCCTGTGGTGCCCCTGAAAGGACTGTGGTGTCCCTTGGCCCTGACAAGCCTGAGGTGCCCCCGACAGGCCCGTGGTGTCGCTGACAGGTCCGTGGTACCCTTGCTAGGCCTGTGGTGCCCCTGGCGGGCCTGTGGTGGTACCCCTGACAGGCCCTAGGTGGTGCCCCTGCGAGGCCGGTGGGGCCCCTGGCAGGTCTGTGGTGCCCCTGGCAGACCTATGGTGCTCTTGCTAGGCCGATGGTGCTCCTGACACGTCTGTGGTGCCCCTGACAAACTTGTGGTGCCCCGACAGGCCCGTGGTGCCCCTGACAGGCCCAAGGTGCCCCTGCGAGGTCGGTGGAACCCCTGTCAGGTCTGTGGTGCCCCTGGCAGACCTATGGTGCTCTTGCTAGGTCGATGGTGCTCCCAACAGGCATGTGGTGCCCCTGACAGGCCGTTGGTGCCCCTGGCAGGCCTGTGGTGTCCCCGAGCCCCAAGGGGCGGGGGTCATGACCCATATGACCCACGCTTGGATCCACCACTGGTTATTACTTGCAGACTGACTCATTTGACATCCATTGCAAAACAATCACAGTAGTATGTTTGTCACCCTGTTCCTTTATGCCCATTTTTATAGTGGGCAAATCTCGACGACTGGGGGGGCAATTCCGTTGAGTGCGGGGGCATTTGCCCCCCCCAGTTAACATGTTAAAATAGGCCCTGTTTGAACCTAAAATTAGCCAAGTGTGCAACGGGGGGAGTACTTTTTGGTTTCTCCGGCAAAAGCGTTTTACTGCCCGGAGCAACGGTGACTGGTGACTGGTGAGTCTGATTTTTTCATTTTTGAGGCATAACGTAAAATAGTTATCAAACTCCTGAGATACAAGCGACAAAACTGTGCCAATGCCTACGAGCAATAAAACAAATATTTTGTGATAGACCAAAGGCACGCGAGGGCACTGCATACCAGTAAATTATTGAGAACAGTTGTAAAATTGAAGCAACAAAGGGTATGGTGACTAACGGGCAACGGCAAAGCTAAACTGAAATCGCGAAATGATCTCAGTACCCGGACTGATTTTAAAATGTTTCCTCTGACAAATGAGTTTAACCTAACGAGAAATTCCTGTGGCCGTCTCTTGCGGTAACGTTGTAGTGTATGATCGCGTTTAGCAATTGAATGTTCATTACGCTTGTGCAATGTGCATGCGAACAACCTGTGCTAATACATGGATTTAAGCCATTTTGCTACTTTGTACACGGGGGTGTTACGAGATCAGAATATTAAATAGAAGGTGGAGTCGATCGTCATTCATCGTAGGCTTCAAAACACCTGTCTTCATTCAGCCGATTTATAAGCTGACCTGACATTGATGTATCGCAAATCTTTGTCACCGAAAACGACCGCTTTATGGCAAATGTCACCTTAGATGGTATACAATTATACATGGAACGCCAATGCTTCAAACAGCTCGAAATCGCAGACTAGAAGCAATTTGACGCTCATCCTGTTCTTTGCGTCAGAACGAAGCGTTCTTGTGTGCTTTATGGACAATGGAAATGTCTGT